GGTGTGTGTGGCGGCTGGGGAGGGGGGGGTCTAGATACAAGCAACACTGTAATTTATGACACATGAATTATGCACATGAATCAAATGTGGCCAACAAAATCCAATTACCTTTTCTTCTTGTGCATCCGGTGAAAAAATGAATCCCAGACCACTGAAATTGTGCATGTAAGCGAACGTACAAGCTTGAATAGCTTAGTAATAGTTTGATTCGGCTGTTCATATGGCAGCTAATAGAAAAAAAAACATGGGCCTCTGGTGAATGCATGTCTCAAGCAACTCATTGTGGTGTCAACTGAAAGGAGCTGTCATCAGGGAAAGGCTTGATTGACAAGAAAAAGTTAAGCAATTAGCCTGAATAGCTCTCAATAACCAAGTCTAATAATAACTCAAAGACATTGTGACTGCGGGGCGCTGACTGATGAAAGACAGGTACCATACAGAATGGTTACAATGTATTCGTAATTCATTATGCTTGTCTCACCTTACCTCTCCAAGCTCATCTACCTCAACATACCTGCTTGGTGCTTCAGGTCAGCAGATGAGGTGGGGGGACTCATATGAGACTTGATTTTAGTTTGACAGTTTTTGTGCTTTTTACTGTTTTTATATTCCTAATTTATTGTTGTAACTGTCCTTATTGTTGTATGAATAATTTTTGCCCTGCAGCCATGTGTATGCAGTGGTGTTTGTTTTAAACTGCTCCATAAATGCAGTTGAGTTGAGCATCTTCTTTTAAAAGTGACTCCAGGAATCAGGGAATTGGCTTCTTTGTGAGTAAACAGGATTGTCCTATGTTGTTTAGGGCTGATGTTCAATTCCCCCACTGGTGCAAACACGGCATTCTGATTAATATTATGTTTGTGGAATATGATTTACATAGCAAAATCCATCCATTTTCAGCCACTTCAGGGGGCGGCCATTTTGCAACCTGCAAACTGCAGTCAGAACAGTTAAGCATCTTTGTTGAACCTAACATGTATGTTTTTGGAATGCGAGAGGAAACCGGAGAACCCGGAGAAAGCCCACGCGGGCACAGGGAGAACACGCAAACTCCACAGAGGAAGGCCAGAGCCGGAATTTTACAACTGTTTTTTATGTCTTTGATCTGAAATCAGACAGTGTCTGAATGTATCTAGCAGCCAAACCTCTGCTGGCAAAACAAATGCTCATTTGAATCTTTTTGGGTTTACTTCACACAGGAGTCATCAGAAAATAACGCAGCTTTTAAAAGCCTGATATATACACAGTATATGGCACTTAGATGTCCTGGAAACGCGGTGTGATATGATGAGGTGGTCTGCATGCCTCAGTAACCAACCATGCATATCCATCTGAAGTAATGAATCCAAGATTTTAAAAAAATATATGATTTTTATGATTCACACTTCCACATTTCCAACTACCTGGACTGGCCTTGAGGCATTAGGTCCTTACTTATATATGGGTAGTGTGGCGAATGAAGATAATTAAAGTTGAACACTTCTACCAGCAAGAGAGGCGAGAGACATAATTACACCTCACTTGGTCCCCTGCATCCTTGGCACCGCTTTTACATTGGGGATGACTGAGTGGAGTTTGCAACATTGATTATCCACATCATATTTCATTTTCGATGAATGAGCCGGTGAGATGCGTGACATGTTTGTTGAGTGTACAATTTATTCTTTATTTGTTTTTGATAATTAAAAAACAGCATTGTAATGTCACGGTCATCATCATAATGAAGGATGATATAATCTCTGATTCTCGCATCTTTTTTACTTCAAACTATAATTCCTGCTCACTGGGCAACTTCACAAGTGTTTAAACGACATCAATACGACATCAATTATGATGTAATATATCCATGAATAATGAATAAGATACCATTAATTGTTTGACCTTATATTGTGCATTACTCTGCATCTTCTTCTTCACAACACACTCGAAATAAAAAACTATATAAACACACACACACACACACACACATTCATTCATTTTCCGATCCACTTATCCTCACAAGGGTCGCGGGGGGTACTGGAGCCTATCCCAGCTGTCTCCGGGCAGGGGCAGTGGACGCCCTGAACCCAGTTGCCAGCCAATCGCAGGGCACACACAGACGAACAACCATCCACCCTCACACTCACACCATGGGACAATTTGGAGTGTTCAATCAGCCTGCCATGCATATTCTTGGAATGTAGGAGGAAACCGGAGTACCCGGAAAAAACCCATGCAGGCCCAGGGAGAACATGCAAACTCCACATGGGGAGGCCGGAGCTGGAATTGAACCCGGTACCTCTGCACTGTGAGGTTGACGCGCTAACCACTGGATCACCGGGCCGTATCACTCTCTCACTCTCTCTCTCACACACACACACACACGCACCCACCCACGCACGCACACGCGCGCGCGGCGTGATGAGAAGCCAAACACGGAGCGATGCACTTTTGCAGCCTGTTGACTATCGTAGCTCACACGTACCGTTTTAAAGTGCTTGCTTCCCTTAGCTCTCAAGATTCCTATTCTTTGCCCGTGCCCTCGGTGAATTGTACACGAAGAAAACTCTGAATGAGAATAATGACAATCAAAGACATAGCGCAACAGCTCTGATCACAAGCTGCAATTGCAGACTGCTGAGCGTTAACAACTTCCGCTGACGTAGTCACGCGCCACCGTAGGTTAAAGATTTATATGCTTTATTTTATTTTTAAAATCTTTCTTTGGGAAAATGAGACTGATAGGATGATTAGGGTTCACTTGAATGGGGGTGGATGTATGCTTTGCTGATTACAGTCCTCTCTTGAGACAGCTTCAGTAAAACCAGAGATGTTTATAGTGGTTGATTACCATTCCAGAGAAAATCACTATTCTAAATAGAGTGGAGGTTACTTTTCATCAATAATATCATCAACAACGGTGATATAATCCACCAGCTTTCTGATCGTTAGATTGCCGTTATCACAGTTATAACTCAATGTGAATCGTTATTTGCTGACCACTATGGAACCCCGTGGTCACCATATTTTCTCATTCAGTCGAGACACTTTTATGTACCTGACGAGGCATATAAATTAGGGAGGGGGGATCAATTCAGCCACAACTGCTAAATTAAGTTTGACTAACTTTATTGAACTGTGTGATATGCTACTGTTGTCTTTGTTTGTGTGTGTGTGTGTGTGTGTGTGTGTGTGTGTGTGTGTGTGTGTGTGTGTGTGTGTGTGTGTGGGGAGAGAGAGAGTGAGAGAGTGATACGGCCCGGTGATCCAGTGGTTAGCGCGTCAACCTCACAGTGCAGAGGTACCGGGTTCAATTCCAGCTCCGGCCTCCCCATGTGGAGTTTGCATGTTCTCCCTGGGCCTGCATGGGTTTTTTCCGGGTACTCCGGTTTCCTCCTACATTCCAAGAATATGCATGGCAGGCTGATATATATATATATATACCAGATGGTTAATAAAAACACTTTGACTCCTATGAGCCAGTGAACATTTCTTCAGGTAATTCCCAATAGGTGCTGCTTTGAAGTCAGGTGTGGCTTCATAGTCGTTCAAACAGAGAACATTTGCACCACTGATACACGAAACTCATTCATTGAGTAACCCTGCAAACAATTACA